AAATGAACATACATGCTAATAAATCAATAATCATATATATGTAGAGGTATTCTTTTATGTGCACATTGATAAACTTATGCATAAATATTTAATTTGAAGAAGGGAAATTTTTTTAGCATAATTGAAACCATTATTATTAGCAAAGTAAAATTGATTTAATGAAAGAAGTTGAGAGAAATTATAATCATATACCAATAGCAGTGTTACTTGATGTCCACTCTACTCCTGGCTAGATTTATATGGTTTAAGAGGGTTTTGAGTTCAAATTAAGCTTAAGGTAACTGGCAAATTTAATCATTAGCATTATTTTCAAACAATGAGCAATGGTATCAGTTCACTAAATGTTGAGTGGTATCCCCCACTTTATTAAATCAAGGCCAGTCAAAGTCAACTTGTCAAGTTCATACCTATGTCCTGCACTGAATCTTTGCTAAGCTGATATACTATTATTTGATACCAATAATAGATTCCTTTTGTGCATGTGACATTTTTTTCTGAAGACAAAAGTCATTCATTATTGTGTTGATAAAGCAATGCAATAGGATTAGCAACAAAAAGCATAGGTAATTATTTAAAAAGAGAACAAGGAAAAAATCTGATTTTGAAATGGTCAATAATATGTAATGTAACTAAGTTCAAATGAGCTAGGCCATTCACTCATTGCTTAATTTGACACAGTGAAGCACTAATGAGATCTAATCCTTGGATAATCCTCATCACTAATCTGCCTTGCACTAAGTGGATTCACCTACACAGTAAAAATACCGATACAAGATTATGATGAAAATAAAAAAAATAAAGGGTATCCATTAAAAATATAATTGCTGAGATTATACCGGATATTGTAAATAATCAGCACTGAGTTGAGCTAGCAAATCCCTGATCATTATTATTAGTTTTCATGTAAAATAGCTGAGCTATGTTGACAATAGGATAAGGAAGTCATTTCAATTTTATATCAAAAGAGGGTTATCAATATAAAACTCAATTCAAACATATCTACTTTATAAAAACTTCCCCTCTGCTATATTTGTGATACAACCACTATTCAGCAAGGGGCTTTGCTGGCAAGAGATGCTAATGGTTTTCTAGATTAAAAATTAATTTGGGTAAAATTAAAAGTGGATGCTTCAATTATAACATTTAATTAAAAAAAAAATAGCAATATTACAGAAAGTGTTTAAAGAAAAGTAACATATTCCACAGTTTTCTTTTAAAAGAAAATACATTTACAGAGTTAAGTTTATTATCTATGGTTAGCTCTAGCTTGTTTGGCTGGATAAATATCACCTCTTTCCAAAAATTGGAAAAGACAGACCAGCTGGAAACCATTAAACTTTTGGAAGTTATCCTTTTGCAGGTGAAATAAAGTGGCTTTTGCAACTTTTTTGTTTTTCTTTTTTGTTTTAAAATTCATGTCCATAAATAAAGTAAATGAATATTAAAAGAGATAAATTATGAAGCTTATGATAGCAAAAAAAAAAAAAGTTCAGAAAAAAATTGAAAAATATATCTCCAAAAATTGTTTGGGTATGTGAAATCAAACATTAAAAGCTTTGAGAAAATAGTCTGAAACTAAAACATAGCCTAAATTCCATGTATAAAATAAATATATATTTATATGAATATAAATAAAATAACTGCAAAAAAAATCTTAAATGTTTATATGTATATACTTGTGTATTATTCATGTAAATCTATATTTCTTTTTGCAATCATGAAGGTTTCAATGGCATACAATTTTAAGTCCCTTTTGTGTCCATATATTCTTTTTATATTTTGTGAACTTTCCTGATCACAATTTGACTTGGAAAATGTTGTTTTACTATCTGTATATGAGTTTGTGTATACAAATACTTGCATGTAAGCAAGCTTTATTAGACCTGTAAGATAGAGACAATGCATTTATGTAATAGAGAGAAATAATATGCATGCACATCAGTATGGACAAACATATATGTACTTGTGTATCTGTGTATACATTTATATAAGTATGAATATCTGAATGTATACATTATCTCTTCTCCAGTAGAGGGCATCATTTTATAGAAGATGTCTCAAAGTATCATTAAATGACAGTGGAAATTGTTATGTCAAATTTGGAGTGTAAATCAATAACTGAATGATTTCATATCAAGGCACTGTTCCTTATATCTTGTTTCTATCAACCAATCTCCACATCCGGAACTTTTTTCCCCTTTCTCTTTTCTAATACAAAGTAGCAGGGTATTAGTGCATGTATACTTTTTTCTGTTCAGATCTTTTCCAGCTTTCTAAGACAAATCTGCACAAACTAGTCTCCAATTTTACCTTTCTCAAAGACTTCAAGTTAACTTTGATTAGTTACAAACATTCTGATGTGTGACAAACTTTATTTTGCTCTTTATTTTCCTTATGCCAGTATTGTTTAAGCAGCTAAACTCTCTTTTATGAGTAATATATATATATATATATATATATATATATATATATATATATATATATATATATATAAGACCCCTTCCTCAAAGGGAATGTGATTTTATTAAGAAAAAGAAAACATTTTTTAATTAAATCATCTTTTGAAAAAAAGCTGTAAGGCACATTCTGAAATGTTATCATATTTTTTGTAAAAACCTAATATAGAGAAATGTTTTTGTATGTGTGAGAAAGAGTGTGTGTGTGTGTGTGTGTGTGTGTGTGTGTATTTATTATACAGACATAATTGATTCTATTCTAGCAAGTAAATAGTAAATGAACAGCCATAAAGACATTAGCCAACAAACTCCATCTAATTCTTATCAGTGTGAGACTTCCTTGTAGATAGAGAATACAAGCAAGAAATGTCTTGATATTATAAGCTCAAACTATTTTTTAGTTCCTATTTCCTGAATACTATCAAAAGTTCAATTTCCTAATGTCAGATCATCCTTTGTTAAACATGTATTGATTAGTAATTTATTACTTCCAGCTGATAATGGAATTAATTTTTACCTTAATTGTTACTTTTTCTTTCTTTTTTTAATCTTCCTTCTCTGTAATTATTTACTCTTGTTTTATTACTTGATTTTCAGATTTTGTCATAGCAGGAGACAAAACTTTAATTTTTATATTTTGCTACAGTTTTAAGTATGTGAGTAACAATTGTCATGGATATAAAATCTTCAAATAAATATACTCATATATACATAGATGCATATATACATAGAGGTACACAAAGAAACAAACACATGCTTAAAAGAAAGAATAATGATTTTTACTCGTCAGATAGTTTGCTTTGAGAGGACAAAACACCACAAGGGATTTGTTGGAAGTAGCATAAAAATGATAGTTTCAGTAAAAAAATTAACAGTTTGGAAGAAAAAAAGGGGTGACATGCCTTTATCTTGTGTCTTTTAACAAGCTTCCTTTTGGGAAATAGCAACTAAGCTGACAATAGTGTTCTGTTGCCACTTGGAGGTATGAGTTCTAAACCATGAAAATATTCCAATCAATACAACAAGAGAATTAGAGCAAAAAGGCATTAAAAGCATTTAGTTCAGCTTTTCAATTTACAATTTGAAAAAAGAAATAAGCGAGAAGAAACATAATTTGAATTATAAAATATCAATAAATTTTGCTGTTGGTTTTGTGGTTTTCTGTCATATTGCTTGACAGTAAGTGAACATGCTGATAGCATATTTCTTTTACTGTTCAATGCTAGAAGACTTAATGAAGAGACAATTTCTTTTTTACTAGAAGATGTTCTGGTTAGTAAAGTTAAGGAGGACTGAGATGGTATGAGTCAGTATTTGTCTATTTGACAAATGAGAAACAGCTTTCTAAAACACTGGCAGGCAGACAGATATGCACAGCTAGTGTTAGTATTGAAGAAGTTTTATTTGTGCCAATTATAACTATTGTTACATAATACACATAACCATAACATTTATGAACAACTTTTAGCCTGTTTCTACATAGGTAATAACTACTGGAATAATACTTCTTGAGAAAATACTTTCAAATTAAGTCTTGTTTGATTTCCAGTGGAAGACCTATCTGACAGAATAATACTATATTAGTCAATAGTATATCATCTGAATAGAGAATAGCTTTCCATATAATATTCTATCTACAGAATATTGCCTGAAGATAAAATAAAACATCAACAAAGATAAATAAAATAAAGATGATAAAAAATAGATAAGTCTATCAAGTTTTATTTCATAAAATACTTCAGTTTGTAATAAAATGTGTAGTTGCTTAAAACTTATGTAAAAATAAGCAATATGGTTATAAATCATCAAAAAATATTACCTTTATTTCATAATTTAGTCTATGAAATGTGTATGCAAATGGAACAAAGGTAGTATATGTTAATTCAAAACTAGATTAGTTTTAAAAATCCAAATTGAAATTTCTTTGAAATATTGCTCATAAGTTATATAAGTAAACATGTTTCCAGCAGAACTAAAAAGGATACCGACCTCCAGTTATGTCACTAATGACTAGGTACAGAGCAAGCATATAAAATGATCATAAAACTTTCTTTTTCTTGACAGTAGTTTATACTTCTTTGAGGTGGAGTTTACAAGGTAGTAATTAGTCTGTAGTAAAGTAGTAGCAGTATACACAACTTGAATACTTTAATAGCAGTCTCTATGCTCATGGTACAATGAAGAGTATAAAGGGTCATTTAGAGGGAAAAGACAAAGATGTATTAGGGATAAGAACCTGATAACACTAATGTATAAATGAGTAAACTAGTTCCAAGTTTGTTGGTTGGTTGTTTTTGTTTAGTGGCATATCAACCTCTATGGGTTATTTAATGCTGCAATCTAAATATTTTCTACGCAATTTATTTTTCAAATAATAGTGGTTTTAGTGATACAAGTCTTATTAATTAACCCATAACTGGGATTCATACTTTTTCCAAGGTTATTTACTAGTAAGTGAATATAACAAACCCAACTGGAATTGAAACTTGGCTCTCCAGTTAACAGTTCTGAGCCATTATCTATTACACCACCTACACAACTAAGCTTACAGCACTTGGTATTCTCAAGTGTTCACCCGTCTAGGTACTGACCTGGCTTGACATTGCTTAACTTCAGTGATCATATGGAAACCAATGTTTCAACGTGATATGCACATAAGCCCTACAGGTTTGTTTAAAGTTCTTGATCAGTGTTAATATATTATATAAATCAAATAAATTTATTTGAATTTGATACAGTAGTGCCCCACTGCTGCATCAAACTGAAGTAAGCTTATTAAGTAACTATTACATGATCAAGTGATAAGCTTGTTGATATGTATAGTCATTAATTGACTATAATTTAATTACAATCTTAGAATATATATTTTTTCAATGCATCTTTTTTTCAGTTTGTTTCCAGTCAGTATTTTAATAAATAAAAAGTTTATACCAATTATTTCAATGTTACTCAGGCTTCACTTATTCCAGTACATTTGTTTTAAAAAATAAAAAAAAAAGATTAAAAATCTAAAAACATATAGATATAATCAATTTTAGAATTTCATTATGAAGATCAACTCAAAGATAACTTTTTCTTTGTTTCAAACTTTGTATGCACTTTATTTAGCCAAGAGTAAGTATTTCAAAAGTAATCATAAAGTAATAAGAAAACCTACATATTTAAACTTAACACAAAAAGAAAACCATCTATTCTTTGTTAATGAACAGAATAGAGCTCAAATAAGAATTAAGAGATAACAAATCCTAGTATTTATTAAAATTGTTATATAGACAAGAATAAATCGGTAATTTCAGGTAAAATGACTTCACAGATATTAAATGAGACTTATTTTTATTCAGGAAACATATTCCATGTATCTTCAGATATAGATATGAAGATATTTTATAAATGAACAAAAAAATTCAATAAAAGCTTTAAAAAAAAAAAATGATCATAATTTCAATTTGTGATTTAAATATGGAGACAGATGTGAGATAAGTAAAAATTGAATAATATTCACAACTTTTAATCTCTAACAAAAATTTTTTAAAAAGTGAATATAAAAATGTCTTTGAATTAAGATAATACAAGAGATCAATTTTTACTAAAGAAACCAAAGATTAACCTAAAGAAAAAAAAAAGAATATTTGACACAGAAATAAAAAAATATATATATAGAAACTATTTTATCTATTTGGAGATATTTTTTTTTTAAATTAACAGAAAGATAACAATTGTCTTTTGATGTATTTTGTCTTCAAATTTTAGAAGCATGCACATACATACACACAAGTACTGGTTCTATGCATATGTATTGACAAGAAGTTAAATAAAAACAATGAATTGAAATTTTTGAAAGAGTTTAAAAATATTCAAAGTGAGTGAAAAAATTGTTTCAGATGTTTAGAAAGAAAAGCAACTTAATATGGATAGAAACTGACAGATAAATAGTGTAATGAAAACAGAAATGGACATAGAACCAGTTGTTTTTCATGTTCAGGTAAGTTGGGATCTTAAAAAAACATGTGGCTTGGGAAAGAAAAGGATATTTAAAAAGAGGGCATGATGATGATGGTGGTTTTACATCAATGAAAAGAAAAAGTGGGTTAGCAGGAAAGAGCTGAATTATTATTATTATGATTATTATTATTTAACTTTCTTTTCCTGTCTGGAAAGATTCCTCACACAAGACAATAGACCAATGTAGGTAAAGAAGTGTAGGCAATGAAAATAAGAATAACAAAAGAAGGTAGGTAGGTAAGCAAGGTAGGAAGAGTATTAATGTGGTGTGTAATGCATCAGAGTGAGTGCTATTGGGTTGGTCCAGCAGTACTATTTTGTCTTGTACTAGTTCAGGCAGATACCATAGCACCCTCACCCTATTCAGGCCAGCCAGCATATCTTGTTCCCCACCCCATTCCATTCTTGTTGCTGCATCTTATCATCCATCCATCATAAGGCAGCCAGTCTACCTCACTGGCCCTGAAAACCAACTTTCAGCAGCTTGTGGTGATCATTGAGAACTACTACGGCTTTTTTGCTTGTTGCTGTTGGGGAAAGATTTAGTAATACTATTATGCTTGCAGTAGAAGTAGCCATAGTTGCACAAGTCTGTTATGAGTGAAGTATAAATATGACACGTGCAGTAGAGTACCGTATCACAGCAGCTGTAGTTGTATTTGAAGTTGTAATTTTGTTATATTGTTTAACAGTGAAGCTGCCTGAAAAGAGTTAAAGGCAATAAATACAGGTAAATAAGCTGTAGCTAGGTGGATATAATATACAACAGGAAGACATGAAAGCTACAGTTTAATCCACATTATCAGGTAGATGAAACTCATGAAAGCATAACACACTGAGAAGAAGGAAATCTTTACATTTAAGAATAGAGAAGACAGAACTCCAAAGATAAATACTCAACGAGCAGTAGAGAATAACAAACCCCCATGTCATGTGCAAAAGTTTAGAGGAAGTAAAGTGAATATAATCTTATTATAAACAGGTTTTATATTCATCATGCCATAATGAACAACCAGTCTCAAAATTATTATAGATGAATTAATCATCTGAACTGATACAAAAAGAATAATGCTATATATTTAACTGAGATTTAGCCCATTAGACTTGAAAAGTGACATTATATCTGAACCTTCAAAATGACTTTTAAAAGGTCCAAAGAAGATCAATTTGGAGATGAGAGTGTATTACCAAAGCCCATACTGTAAAAATTAATGAACTCTTGTACTTAATTTGCATGTTTACATGCTTTGCTATAACAATAAATTGAGAAATTGAAATAATGACAAAAAAAATGTTTATAATCAGAGAGAAAAGCAAGTTTCATTTGAATGCAGATAATCAAATATTTGTTACATTTATTAATGAATCTGTTTTTCTTTTACTCTTGTTTCAAATTAGTTGAAGAGTTAACTATTATAGAAAATATTAAATAGAAAAAAATGAAAGTATTGCATTATGTATTAGTATAGTGAATACAATAATGCTGTAATGGCCTGCTTTGTAGATGAAATACTTTCATATTTCCTTTTTATGCCACAGGTAATTAAATTCAGGTAAAAACTAGGATTTTGCATGTTGATTTTCACTTAGAAGATTGGATCAACACAATCTACCATTTCCTTCCATTTAATGGTGTGCCAAGCTAAGCTTAATAAATAGCAATAACTTGATTTATTGCATCAGAATACAACAGCTGATACAGCTATATCATTTTGCTGTTGAGAATTGATATTTCTTTATAAGTGTTAAGAATAATGAACATAAATAGATAGCTCACTCTTTTGAAAGAGTAAATAAGCAAGATTAATAATTGTGAACAACTATTTTAAGCAATTTATTTCTAAATGCAGAGTAATTTTGTAAAATTTATTTAATGAATTAATAATGAAATGTATTTTAGAATATTTTTCTTTAAGTAGAAAATGTATTATAGGATATTAATATAAATAAGTGTAGATTATTCCAAATCAGGAAGAACACTTGATTGGAAAATGTTAAATTCCAAATGCTAACTTATTTATACAAAATTAATAAATTAAATAAAAAATGTACAAAACTGAATGTCAATCATTTTTGTTTTCAAAATCTAAGAGAAGTCTTCCATTTGATAACTTATTTTTAAACAGCAACAGTGAAGTAACATTTCATGTTATATTTTGAAATATGAAGATAAAAAAGCATGAAAAGCTAATTATTTTTAAAATAAAACTATCTAGACAAAGAATTAAACCATATGAAAAACAAATTTCTTTAAATACACACAAAGTAATAATTCATGAAAAGATTACATACACATCATAGATAAAATTGAATGGAAACATTTCTTGTAATTATACAATTCTTAGCTTTCACAATTACTAATCATCACTATTTCTACCTTTTGTTCTTTTTAGTGATCAATAAATGAAATATGCATACTTATCTTATTTACCTTGAAAAAAAGAAATAAATGAATTTATTTTAAAGATAACATAGTTAAGTATTACCCACAGCACTTGATGACATTCAATGACATCTGATAATGCCAGTTGAACAGAAATCAATTACAGACATGAACTGGAAATCTGTGACAAATCAGTAGGGATATATTTTTCTTGGTCATTAATAGTGATAAATATATATCAATAACATTTTAGCTTTCAGGTGAAGGAATTTTACATATTTTGTCATCTACTAGGTCTAACCTTTAAAAAATGGGAAAACAACAAACTTTTTAGAATAATAGTTATTTTAGTCATAAATCAACATTTCTTGAAATATATTATTTCTGTAGATCAGCAGAAGAGGCAAATTTAATCAAGTGCTTAAAAGGTTATTTTAAAAGATGCATGCCTTTCCAACAGACACTGATACAAAATGTGGTAATTAATACTGCAATTCAAATTACTCTGTTGTTATTGAAACATGATATTAAAATCACTAGACACTTTGTAAATACATCTTAACTAAGTTGATTACAATCAAATTTTAATGATGTGCAAGATTTATCTCTATTTGAAAACAAAGACAATTGTCAAAAAATAAAAGCTATATTTTTTCCTTACAGCACAATACAGCCATTAAATGGAAATACTAGTTAAAATTGAATTAAGAATTATCTGAATATTTTTGAGTGACTTATAATATGTATACCTCTAACAAATGACTTTCAAACTGTTTTGGCACATGAAAGTGCAATATGAATATAGCAGAGTAATCAATGAGGTATACATTTCAACTTAAATACCAAGAACAGAGTTTGACAGCGAAAAAACAAAACTCATTTTAATCATCTTTAGTAATTTCAGTGTTTGATGAATAAAAATATTGATATGGTAAGAGGTGTGATAAATATCAAAAAGAAAAATATTTTTTTGCAAACTGTTAACTCATTAAAAACTAAAATATAAAGGAAAACCAACACTATTTATTGGTAGCTCACCCATCAATAAATATTGAAAATGTGTCAAAAGGGATTCATGGTAAATTGTAAATGTAAAGGATATAAACTATTTCTTAAAGCTAAGCCACTTTATAAGTAAGATCAATTCTTTGGAAAATATATTGCCCTGCAAATATGAGTATAGGTCAATATCTGGATTTACCTAGGTGAATTTTATAACAAGTTCACTGTAGCTCAAATACACAAACATGTCTAAAGCTTAACTCCA